CAGCAGAATTTATACCGTGAGGGGGAGTTGCGCTAACTTCCTCTGCCAGACGTTGCCTATTTCCATATCTCTAGAAACTTCCTTAGTCTCTGCTTAAAAACTTTACCGATCGCTGGAAGCGTGGTTCAATCGCAGTAAAACTTCGGTGTTGCAGTGTTCAGAAGAAGAAAGTGGCACCAAAGCAAAGGCAAAATCCCACACTTAACCTTTAGAGCCTTATGGCTATAAATTCTGGTCCTAGAGGTGCTGTCTCCCATTCTGGAGGGGTATCAGGGACCCGATGGAAGATGTTGGCTTCTGTACTCCCTTCCCGTGTTCCCTGCTAGCATGCTTCGGGGAAGAGTTTCTGGTTTTCACACAGCACAGTATCAGGTCGGAGTTCTCCTCTGCATGGCTCCCTGTGGGGCCTCTGCAGCTCAGATCCCTTGAGCGAGGTACAGGGCACTGAGGGTCTGCATAATCCCTGCAGTACCTTAGTTGTGACAATGGGGAAACAGCAGGTGGTTTTGGTTTGGTTTTTTATTATTATTACTTTTAAAAAAATTAAAGGAGGGGAGTAGAATATCCTGGCAAAAGAACCGAGGTTGTGAAGACCACAAAAAAGGTGGGATGGTGAAGTGATAAACAAAACACTGGTCACGAAGTCCAGCCTTCATGGATTTATTTTTCTAGTAACTACTGGAGTTAAGAATGCCCCCATTGAAATCAAGGGTCTAACTCTGAACTAACCTACACCAGTTTTATACTGGTAGCATTGCAGTGATTCCAGGAGTGTGTTTATTTCTTCATTAGCTTTGTATTAGAACAGTATCCACAGGTTTTTACCTGATACAGCTGAATCTTTGCACTGTTTCTAGTGTAAGTATTTAAGCTTAGAAATAAACTATTTGAAATCACAGTATGAACTCAAAGGTCCTGTTTCTCCATCTGAAAGGGAAATGTAAATTGTACAGAAAATAAGGTTGCCATGTTGAATATGTGAGAAAAGTGAAATGAGTCTCTTCAAAATGAAGTAAGTGCAAAAGAATAATATATAAATAATGAGAACGAGATACTCATTACTCTAGGATACCTAGAGTAATGAATGTAGTAAACACTACAAGAATATGGCATTTGAAGAAGCTTCGTAAATTTCCATTAAATGCAGTTCCTATTTTGAAGTGACTTCAGACTGGCTGCTTTAAAATGACTAGTGCAGATCCCCTTTATATAGATACATCTCTAAACGTGGTGTAGGTTGGGCTGATTACCAGATTTGTGTTTTCTTTCATAGGTCTCTGTTTACTTACCTCTGTGAGAGTGGTTGCTTGAACTGTTGCTTTCCTTGGGAGAGAAATCAATAGACTAATTTTGTAATGCTAATAACTGCTGTAGCAGGGAGGTGGTGCAGGGTGAAGGGATGGTGTGCTGTTTGAGGTCAGGCAGCCTTGCTTACACTAAACATTCTCTCGCCGGGAAACTAGCAGGTAGTATTTTTTTCTGGGTTTTGTTAGTGTGTTTTTTTCTGTTTTGTGCATCCGGAGAGGTGCTTTCAGCTTAAGAGTAGAAGCTGTTGACATTGCCTTGGCTCTGGGTGGAGGGTACTGGCATTTCAGTTGTATAGGCAGTTGCAGGGATGGTGGAAGGCAAAGTAGGAAATTGACAGTGGTGGGTTGCAAGAAGTTGAAATTTGTGAATGAGACTCCCAAGGGTCTGCTTCCTTTAGTGGAAAACATGACTGGTATAGAGGAGGGTATAGACACCTGCATAGTTTTTCTTTAAAGGAGAGATGGCAATCCGTACTTTTGTGTAAGTTACCTTGGATAAATGTTGATCTTGTGTGAACAGTACTTTGCCAGGTCTCCATGATGCAAGCAAATAGGGGCCTCCATTGGTCCCCTTTTGCCTAGCTGAAGTAACACAGAACTTTGGCTTGGAGCTAGATGGTTTCAGTCAGTATTGGAGAAAATTCAAATCTGAATGTCAGGAGTCCTGTTACAGGCCAGGCTTCACATCCTTGCCTATGAGATATGTCACTATTATTCTCCATTTTTATATACATTCCAAATGAACACCAGAGAGGCTGGCTGGTCTTGCTTTTTGAATAATGTAGATTTAGTTGATAGCTGTTTTGCTAGCCAGATTGGGGAACCTCTTGAGAAGAGTATGAAATCCTTGAGGTGTATGTGAGAGAGGGGTGCTGGCAATCTAAGTCAGACTTGTGGGGAGACAAAATTAAAGCGATATAATAATTCCCAAGTGTTACTCTGTAGGCTGACAGAACTAATCTGCTTTGGGGTGAGATTCTGTTAACTGTTGTTAAACTGCCTAGTTTAACTCAAATAATCTCAGATTACATGTTAGAATAGACATTGCATGGAAAGAAACAGCTCATTTTCTTGTTTAAATGCTTTGCCTAGAACACTGAACTCGGGTATAATGATAGAAAACCTGCCTAATGCTGTATCTGTTTAAGTTTCAAGAACATTTAAAATCTTGTTGAGGAAAGGTGACATGGCTAACTATAGATGCAGAGATCTGTAAGCTGGTGCCAACTGTTGGCAATTAGTTCTCGTATCACAGCACAGCCATCTTGAGGTTCTGCATTTGCAGCACTGCTAATCTGTGGACGGAATAGTCAATCCATTTCCAGATAACTGAAGTAAACTTGCAGAAACCTTTATCTACTGAAGATGATAATGCGTACATCTTGTGCACCTAAGCAAATGGAAGTAACGTCTAACAGGTGGACTTAGTTTCCATGATGTTAATGTTGCTTGCTGTTTTTGTCAGGTTGTCAAGAGAGAAGGCAGTGGGACAGAGTCTCCAATGATAGGCGATAAAGTGACTGTCCATTACACAGGATGGCTTCTTGACGGCACAAAATTTGACTCCAGTCTGGACAGGAGAGACAAATTTTCGTTTGACTTGGGGAAAGGTAATATCTTATGTTTGGTATTGATTACTTTGGTAGTAATTGAGATGGGATTTCCTTGCATGTGCAGTTCCTTTTAAGGTTTATTGTCTTAGAATGCCCAGTCAGAATGTCTGAGATTTTTCCGAATGAGAAAACTGTGTAGTTGGCCTGTTGAAGAATTCACAGGCCTCAGACAGAGCACTCCAGGGGAGCACATTTGCCCTGAAGTGTAGTGATAAAGGGTAGTTAAATAGCCAAAATATGCATTTTGTTGGTTGGCGTTTTTTGGCAGACTGCAGGAGTACTTAATTGTGACCAGATAGTGGGACAGGGTGCACAGAGGCTGCAGCATGCTGAAACACTTTTTTTTTCACAAAGTTCCCAAGTTAACCCAAATATGAATCTTTAAGCAGTGCATCTCTTCATTATCAAGATCCTTCATTTTCTGAATGCAAAGATCCAAGCGTCCTCATTCCAGGAAATCTTATGGCTCGATCTTACATTATTTCTGTTTGGCTTTTCTTAATAGGTAATATCTCTTCTTTAAAAAATTCTACATTGTACTGAAATTTGATATTATTTTAAGTACACCCATTAATGTAAGGTTACTAGAAAGGCTGCTGGATTGAGTTGAAAGAAGCAGCAAGTAGGGGAGTGTGAATAAGAGATAGGATTTTGTTACAGCTTCTGCTCCCTTTGGCTTTGGGAGGAATACTGCTTCTACTTCCTCCCCCTTTCTGTTGCAAGTGTGTGTAACTTCTAGTTACCACTTGTGCTGCTCTTTGCCAGCTGATAAAGTACAGAGAGAAAAGGCTGTTGTTTTGGATTGTTTTCAAAATATGAGGAGGCAATCTCTCACCCTAAGACCTTCCTCTCAGAAGAGTTTATTGTTACTTCCTCGCACTTGAGAATGTGCCAAGCACTTCAGCCAGTGTCTGTGTTCAGATGTCTTCTATTCTCTATAGGCGAGGAAGCACAGTGTCCCTGCCCACGGCAGGGGGGTTGGAACTAGGTGATTTTTCAGGTCCCTTCCAACCCAGCCATTTTATGATTCTATGGAAAGAGTCGCTGCACCTGGAAGAAATATAGCCAAATTTGGGTCCCCAGGAAACTTTAGAGTTTGATTAGGCTTAAAACTGATGTACATAAGTGAGAGTGAGCACAAGCCCTTCAGTATTTCTGCTGTCTTAGCTTTCGTTTGCTAAAAGTGATATTCCGTTTCAGCTGATCATGCCTAATGATCATGTGATTGACATTTGACTTGCACAGGTGAGGTGATCAAAGCATGGGACATTGCTGTGGCGACTATGAAGATTGGTGAAATCTGTCGGATTACATGTAAACCAGAATATGCCTATGGCTCAGCTGGGAGCCCCCCAAAGATTCCTCCCAACGCTACACTGATTTTTGAGGTAAGTGAGAGATGGTTGATAAAACTGTACACTTGAAAAACAAGCAGAAGTCATATTTCACAGTAGAAAATCTGTGATGTAATATATTTTCAAAACAGGATTGTAAGGTTTTCTAAAAATAATATGGGCAATTCTGAGTAGGGTGGAGAAAGTTTTAGTTTGATTGCTACTGATCTGCAAGGTGAGTGGCTCAGATTCCTTTTTTTTTGTTTGTTTGTTTGTTTGTTTGGGGTTTTTTGTTTGCTTTTTGGGTTTTTTTGTTTTAAAATACTTGAATGGTTTCCAGTGCTCAGTTTTAATTTTACAGTTGTGGAATGGTTTGTAGTAGGAAAGTGCAAGTTGGGAGGGTGCACTGTCTCAGTGATGGACTCTGAAGTAGTTAAGAAAATGAAATCTTTAATCCACTTCATAAGACTCAAGGTAATGATATTTGTATTAAACATTATGAAGTTTTCAATAACAGAGCAGTTAATGCCCTCAGAAATATACTTCTTATACTTGTTGGTGTTTTCTTTGCGACATAATACAATCTCATAAGCTATTTCAGGGACAAAAGAGGTAATTGCCCCATATAAACTGCTAGAATAAAAAGTGTATATGAACAGCCCTGGAATTATGAACTCTTTTCTGTAGAGCTGAATATTTTAATAAGCCTCTAAGCACCGTAAAACCAGTTTGGATTTGGGTTACTGGTTGATGCATCCAGGCTACATTGATCAATCTCATCATTATATACAGAAGTACTCACTTTGTTCCTGTGATGGACTCAGCAGTCTTGAGCTTAGCATCTGGGTAAGCGGATATTGCAATTCACATGGACAGCTGGTGTCCTCGGAGGTGAACTACATGTCTTGGTGAGCATGGAGCCAGTTATCCTTGGTATTTCTTTACCTCA